TCATTTTCTCATATTTTTTCCCTTATTTCCTTTCCCCTACCCTTCCCACTTTCCCTACACCTTTAGCCCTTTTCTTCCTATTTCACATTGTCATTTATATCATTAGGATCTTATATACTATTATAGTTTATTCACACCAGAGAAACGATTCAGTATTTACACATGTGTGACTTGTTTCAGTTAGGAGTATGTCCTCAATATGTATCTATTTTCCTATGAATGAGTCTAATTTCTCATTCTTTATGGCTGAGTGGTATTCCATTTTATAGAAAAACCACATCTTCTTTATCCAGTTTCCAACTGATGGGCAAATGGGCTGTTTCCAAGTTTTAGGTATTACAAACTGTGCCCCTATAAACATGGGTGTGCATATATCACTGTGGTATGATTCTTTTAATTCTTTTGGAAAGATACCCAGCAGAGGGATGGCTGTGTCAAATGGGACCTCTAGTCCCAGCTCTTTGAGGTATCTCCATATTGATTTCCATAGTGGTTGTACCAGTCTGCACTCCCACCAACAAAGGAGAAGGGTTCCTTTCTCCCCACAACCCCACCAACATTTGTTACTTGGTCGATTTCTTGATAGCAGCCATTCTTTGTTGGGTGAGATGGAATCTCATCTCAACTTAATAAAGGCTATCTATGGAAAACCAACAGCCAACATCATATTAAATGGCCCAAAACTGAAAACCTTCACATTAAAATGAAGAATAAGGCAAGGATGCCCACTATCACCACTCCTCTTTGATATAGTTCTGGAAAAAGCCATAGCAATTACACAAGAGAAAGAAATTAAAGCAATAAAGATAGGAAAGGAAGAAGTTAAACTGTCATTATTTGCTGATGATATGATACTCGACATTGAAGACCCAAAAAACTCCACCAAAAGATTTCTAGACTTAATTGACACTTTTAGCAGAGTAACTGGATACAAGGTCAACACCCAAAACTCAATAGCCTTCTTGTGCACAAATAACAGACTCACTGAGAGAGAAATTAGGGAAACAATTCCTTTCACAATAGCATCCAAAAAAAATGAAGTCTCTGGGAATCAATCAAACAAAAGAAGCAAAAGACCTCTACACTGAGAACTACAGTGCTCTGAAAAAAGAGATCAAAGAGGATATAAGAAAATGGAAAGCTAATTTTCTCTTTTAGATCCCTTAACATATGTGTCATCTTGTTTTGCACTCATAGAGCATAATCATTCCAATGATTCCAGAGTGTACCATATTTAAATCTCATTCAGATGTTTGGTCTGTGTGTGTGTGTGTGTGTGTTTTATGCCTTGTATTTTATTTTTGATGTTGTTGAGGGCACAAAGGTTTACTACGTAAAATGACTGAGTCAACTAGATTTTGTGAGGTTATGTTTATGTGAATAAGTATTAGGCTATATTTACTATTTTCTAGATCTTTTTCATAGCTAAAATGTCCTCTGATGGCCTTGTTCTTATCTTTTTTGTTGTCCTTGGGTTTCCCCTACAGACTTCTTAAATATCTGAAGTATACAAGTCTTTCCATTGTATTCCCATTATTATAATGAATCCCAGATTTTGAGGAAAGCTTTCTATATTTCTGTGATTAAGTGTAAATCTGTTCATTAGCCCATACTATTGGACTATGACCTTCAAAGGGGCTTCTCAGCTCCTCCCACATCCTCTCAGAGAGACTGAAAGTCTGGGAGGTGGGGCTATTCTTAAATATTTCCCTTTACACGTATTGTAGGGTAGAGTGGGCTGGATTTATTCTCATTTCTCCAGGGAGAAGACCACAGAAGGCTGGAGTTGAACATATCCCTTTTCTCAAGTCAGTTCATTTTGATAAAGTCCAAATTAGACTCTTGGTAAATAATGTCTTTTGATTTTGCACTTGTTAAGAAAAACACCTTTCTCTGGATATATTTCAAAGTGGTCGTGTTGGTCCTCTGACAGAAGTAGAGGTTGTTTTACAATTTCACTGTTAGAGCTTTTGAGGATTCGTAGAAATAGGATTTTATGAAAGAATGAGGCTCCCCATAAAGGAGGAGAATCTAGGAAATTTAAATTTTCAAGTTGACTGGCCAAGCAAAACTAGGAAATAAAATATAAACCTCATTAGTGTCACACAGACTTGATAGCATCCAGCTGCTTATACTTGATTCAAATAATCAAGGAGGACATCAAGAACAATTGGGAGGGTCCAGTTTGGATACCTCAGAAAAAGGCTACAAAGGTATCACATGAAACAAAACATCAAGACGTCAGATAAAAAGATACTAGAAGCTGGATCTGAGCCACATGCCTATAATGCTAGCACTCAGAAGGCTGAGGCAGGAGGATCACTGAGTTCAAGACCAGCCTGGGCCACACAGTGAATTGAAGACCAGCATGAACTGCACTGTGAGACCCTGTCTGAAACAAACAAACCAAAAACAAAACAAAACCACGTACAGCGAAGACAATAGAAAGGCATGGACACTGACGCTGCAAGTGGAAAAAAGAGATTAAAGTCTGTGGCCAATAAGCCATGTTCATTTTCTCCTTCACGTCCCAGATATACCAACCTAACAGGGAGCTGGAAAAACAAAAAGGCTGTAATCAAGGTGACTATGCACTCTCTTGTTGTTGGAGCAATGAATAATAGTTTTAAAAAAGTTATAGTAAGGATTCTAAGAAACTGTAAAAAAAATTATAGTTTTCATGTGCGTGTGAAAGCCATGAGGTCAGTAACTCGCAAAGGCAAGAACTTATGCAAGGAAGCACACAAATATAAAATACGATGATACACTTTAAAAAAGATGATTACAAAATCAAATGAATTATAGCAGTTCCAAGAAAATGGGAAGTAAACTGTTTCTATTTTTATTTATTTATTTTTTTTGAGACAAGCATTTACTATGTATCCCACACTGGCGATGAACTCACTATCCCTTTGCAACAGACACCTGGGTGCATTAATTATATGTATGCTTGATTTTAAACAGATAATAAGTACATATGATGGTATTTAAGACATGCCTGTGAGAAAAATTCTGGGTAAAACAACCCTCAAATAGCATTCTTCACTGAGAATTTGACCTAGGTCACAGGAAATGTTAAGGTAGTCTGAGTCCCAAGGAAGGAGTTTACCACTGTTTATTTCTGGAAAAGTAGAAGAATTACAAAGGACCCGGAGCTTTGCTTATGGTTCTTGGCCAAGGGAAACAAGGGACACTGCACAGAACCCATCCCATGGGAAGCCATGCACATTTGCACATCTGCAAATGACACAATCTTTAGTCTTGGAATGCGACAAGAGGCCAGGCACTCTGTGCAGGTTCAGGCCGAGCAGATATTAATGTGGGGTCACAGAGTCATTTGCTTTCACAAGGCCATCTTCCTCTCCATCCGTCTACATCTCAGAAACACACATAGGTCAAAAATCCAGCACTTACGGGTGAGGACCTCTACACACTCCCCGCAGACCACAGCTCTCCAACCTTGGAATGGAGTATAGGCCTCATGGTCTAGGAACACTGCAGGAAGGGTCCCACAGAGGGGCCCATTTCTGTGTCAGTACAACACACAGAGGGGGCCGATGAGCTGGGAGCTGGACAGGCACAGGGCTGGTCGATGAGTGACCAGAGGCAGAACGAACTGCAGTTGCAGAGGTGCCAAGCAGCCCCATCACACAGGGGAGCCACCTCAAGAGAATGGGGTTGAACTAGCACAAACACTCAGGATGCCTCTACCTCACCAGTAAAATAGAACAGCGTTCTAAGAACACTGCCCCCTTCAGGAGGAAGCCGTGCGCTTCAATCCTCACCACAAAGACAGAGATTCCACAAATAAATCCAGCCAGAAAACATGAGGCATCCCAAGCTCCCCGAGTTCCTGAGGACTAGAGAGAGGGCACGCTCAGGGCACCCCCGTGGGAGCCACCCAGGCCACACCGAGTACAAACACACATGACAGATCTACTCATGCCACGGCAAACTCCCAGAAACAGAGCACAAAGGGGTACAGTTCAGGGGCCAAAATGTCCGTAAAGATATCCAAACACTACGAAGGGTTCAGATATTGCAAAACAGGAATGAGCAATGCCAAAACACACACCAGAATGAGATGAAATCAAATCACATGGAACATAAAAGCGCTGAGGAAATAACACAGGCTTCCCAATCAGCAGTGTTCAATGACCAGAAAATCGTAGGTCACTCGGTATGGGGAATGAAGGGTTTGTGCTGAACACATACACAAGCTGGATCTAACGCAGACACCAGCCTTTTCCATGCACTAGGACTCTGGCAACTCCATGATCCATAAGAGAAGCGGGATCCAGCAAAATGACGAAACTCAACACTGGGTCTGAGCACAAACAAGAGACCAAAATACACTGTGTTCGTGCCCCTCACACCAGGAAGAAAAACCAAGCAGAATATGAAAGCACAAACAAATAGCCTTTATTCCATGCCAGGGGGAAGGAAAGAAAATGTACCTTTAGAGGATTCTTTCCAAGGAAAAAGATGAGCCAAACTGGATCGGATATTTGAAAGAGGCAAAACATGAAAGTAAAGCACAAGAAAAAAACTGCCTTGAAAACTTCATGCAGGCTGAACCAGTAACCCACTCTCCTGGGAGCAAACATATTAAAAAAGCTCACAGCAACTTGGTCGCATTTGAGAGAAAGGGGAATCCCACAAGCCAAAGGGCTGGCCTGAGGGGCCCCGGGTTACTGGCCCACGATGGCCGGCCACTGACTGAGGCCCCCTCGAGGAGCCCCCCTTACCCTGCAGAGCAGGACATGCGGGTGGGAAGGAGGCGGGCATCGCCTTCCCGCCCAGGTCTCCCCACAGCGGTTCCGCAGGAAAGACCCCGGTTCCCGCACAGAGGCCCAGGGAGGTTTTCTTGGGCGGGGTGCTTCCCGCGGTCCTCGGATGCCTGGGACCCGGTGGCCTCCCCAGCGTGGTCCTGGGGCCACCGAAGTCCACAACGGGCCGTAGAAGCCTTCGTGCGCGTGGGAGGCCCGCTGTCCACTCACCTGTGACTTCACGCCGGCAGGCAGAACCCACTGAAAGGAACAAGCAGAGGACAGGGGCTGAGCACGGGGCCCTCCATGACACCGCGAGAGGGGCAGATTCAGGGTCGGGCGGAGGGGCGCCTAGGACCGTAGGTCCACCCCAGCTGCCCCGCGGAGCTCCGAGTGGGCTCCCAGCCGCACCTCGACCACCCTGGACAGGGCCGCGGGCTGCCTGGCTCCCGTGGCGCTCGCTCCCCTCCCCTGCTGGGCCTCAGCCTAATCCTATTGAGCGTGATTTTTAAGTCATCGCCTCTCTTCAGCCCAATGAAGGTGTCATCATCAACCCAGGCTGAGCAGAACCTGGGAGAAGCGCAGCTGCGCCGGCACCTGCCATGATTTACCAGGAGGGGGCGCCGGAGCTCACTGCCCAGCAGGGCTGCAGAGCCGCAGAGAACTGAGGGTTGCTAAGCAGGCGGCTGGCCATGGCCCCTTGGACTGCAGGCCCGGGGCTCCTTCTTGAGCAGCGTCTGTGGGCTGGAAGGGAGGAAGACCGGTGTCGCAGCTCACGAGGGGCCCCGGGCTGGAGGCCCCGACTCACCCGCACCTGTCCTGGGCCAGACCCATCTGAGCCGGGGCTGGATGCCCGAAGGCGTGGCATTTTTGGACGGGTGGGCCATGCGTCCGGGGACCCGCTGAGGGGTTGGGAACGGCGTCGCTGGGAAAGGTCAAGCCTGAAAGCCGGGGTGAGGCGCAGGGCCCGGTCTAGCTTGACTCCAGGCACATCAAGGCAAGGCAAGGGAAACGTGGCGGCGCGGTCTAGCTTGACTCCAGGCACATCAAGGCAAAGCAAGGGAAACGTGGCGGGGCACAGCAGGGCAGAGGCCGCTGGCCCTGGGGCTCTGATCCCTGGCCCCCGACCTGTCCAGCCTGGCCATCTGTCCCTGGCTGTCACCAGCCCCGAGATGCCGCCACCCTCCTTCGGTCTGCCCAAGCGAAGCCCAGGTTCAGACCAGGGCCACCTGGGACCCCCCCTCTCCCCAGCACCTCCTCGGTTGCCCTGGGACACAGCCTGGCCCGGTCCCCAGAGAAACCGGGGCTCCCCACCTGGGCAGGACAGCTTCTCTGGCCCAATGAGTGCACAAGCTGATGGGGGCCCGAGGATTCTGCCCCTGACCTCCAGCGCTGGGGGGCGAAGGGAAACACAGATAAGTGGTGGAAGGCACCACGGGGCAAGGGGGCCCATGCAGCCTGTGGGCACCCGTCGGGGCAGGCCTGCTTCCCCACACTCCTGGGCCTCAGGCTCAAGTGCCCGGAGGCCAGCTCCCCTCCACGCATGCTCTAGCCTGAGGGCTCTGGCAGTCCTGTCTCCTTCAGCAGGAAGCCAGTTCCAGGAGGCTCGAGAGCTGGCCTGTGGGTCCCCAGGGCCCTGGCTCTCGGTGCCCAGCTACTGACCAGGCCCAGCTGAAGGAGACTGTGTCAGGCTCTGGGCCATTCGTGCCCTTGGCCCTCCAGGCAGCTGTGTCAGTGCTGGCCTCATGTCTTCTTTCCTTGTCACACAGGAACGCGGGTGTACAGGAAGTGCCTTAGTCTATCTTTTAATTTTTTTTTTTTTTTTTTAAGGAAGCCTGGCCTTTTTCTAGTGAGTCCCCTAAGTTCTTGAATCCCAGTGGGTGTTTTTCAGGTCCTCTGGGGACTTCCCGTTTTGTGAGCACAGTCAGCTGCCCTGTGGGTCCTCTAGAGGGCAAGTCTTTAGTGCCCTGAAAGTACAGCAGGAGGCCAAGCTGTCCTCCTCCTCCCGTGCCTTATTTCAGGCTTACTAAAATCTCATTCAACATATTTAGGTCCTAACCTCTGTTTACCCTGTTGATCATGTCATTCTCCACACCCTGTTCCTGTACCTGCAGTGGTTTCCAAGGTTTGTTCAGTAGAAATGGAGCAGAATGAAGCTCTTCTAGTCTCATTTTATATTACAACATTTTTTTCTCCCCTCACATAAAGATGCACATAACAGCCTCACACTGTGTACGCATACATGAGCATGTCACCCAGTGCTATCTCACGGAAGTCAGGTAATACTAAAGATCTCAGCTGTCATGAGTAGAGCTGTCACTGTGCAGGATCACACAGTGTCGGTATTCAGGGGGACCAATGAGTACAACACGTCACCTCGGTGGCTTATGTGGAATATGTCTGCGACCACAGGTCATCCCTCATCTCATTGTAAAAGTGTGCGATTTGTGGTATTTTCACTATAAAGTAGAACGAGAGGGACAGAGGCATGGCTAGAATGCTGACCCTAACCATTAGGAAACCTAGGTCCCTGACATAATGCTGAGTGAGCTAAGTATTTGTTTTTCATAAGCACTTCTTTTGGTTAAGCCACATAAGTTTATTTCAAGTGTTTTATTTTCTCAAGCCCCAAATGAAACCCAGAATGGCAATAAGGCTTCCAAAGTCCTGCCCAAGGATGGCCTTTGAGGTTCCCAGTGTGTTCTTGTTGTCTACATGACCGTGTCTTCAAAACCACATATTCTCACCACTGATTAAGGTGATAGCACTCCTCATGCATATGAGATACGACTGAAAATTCAGTGACTGTTTATGTTTTTTAAAATTTCTTTCAGTAAAAGACATACTCTAATGAATCCCATTCAAAATATCCCCCCTTGGGCCGAGGATTTAGCTCAATGGCTCTGGGGCCTGCCTCGCGAGCACCAGGTCCCAAGTTCGATGACTGGTACCAACAACAACAACAAAAGATCCCCCTTCATCTTGAACCCATTTGTCCTATTGTCCTAGTCACTCTCTGAAGCAATCCTGGAGGTCTTCTTTCCTCTGTGTCTTGTGCCTTTGTAGCTGCCTCAATGCTGGGAGGCAATTCAGAGCACCCACCTTTCACGGCCATTTTGACTTGGGAAAGTACCAGACGTCACGTGCCAGAGCTGGTGAACAAGGTGGGTGAGGACAGGCCAGGATTGTTTTCACAGCCTGCCTTCCTGTCGGATGGCGCTCAGCAGCAGCACTCACCATATTTTTAAATTAACAACACCTCAAAGACACTCATGAAAGAAAACTTCTACACTGCTTCAGAAAGTGGCAAGAATCCTGAGATGGATGTGTTCAAAGTGAGGCAGGCAGAGTATTTTGAGGAGGATTAGTGACAATATGCCTTTTACTGTGCTAATTAAGTTAAACATTCATTGTTTATTTTGATGTCACCTCGTATCTAAGCATTATGTTCTTTTCCAGAGATTTCTCTTGCCTTCCTGGTGCTAAACTGGACTGGAATTGGATTGGGATTCAGACCTTTTCCGTGGCTGCCTTTTACGTGGAAAGCGAAAGCTTATTTTTTTCTCCAAAGTCATTACTTGAGAAACAGGACAAGTTGTGGCTAGTACTCAAAAATTGAGCCATTAACTGTTCTGTCAGCCGCTGATTTCATAAACACAGGGACAACACATACAGGACTAGCAAGCCAGTCAGCAAGTGTCATGCTGAGATGATCCATCGCCTTACTGATCATCACTTGTTTATATATTAAAAGAAGCCATATCAGTAGTGACTGACAAGGCACAATGCATAGAACTCTCTTGAAATTCCATTCCAGGAACAATGCGAAAATTAGGATCTTGAGGTATCAGGGCACAGTGGTTGGTATTTATTTGCACACATGTTGGGCAATCCATATACAGAAATGTTTAAAATGTGGCTGAAATGTCATTATCTTCAGTGTTTTCACCAATAACCCACAAACATCTCAAAGTCAGAGCAACTCAGAAATGCTGTAATGGGTGGGAATATGTCTGTTAGTCCTTAGGGCCAAAGAATGCATAAAACAGGTACAGTGTTTGTGACTCAGTGTTTCAACATTCTTTCAAAGAAGTTTCAGTAAATGTGATGTTATTCCTATGTGGAAGTTGTCAATAAGTCAGTGCCAGAGTAGAACCCATAGTGGGCTTGTGTCTTGTCTCAGTTTTTGATCCTAGTTATCTCAAAGGCCATTTTGGAAACAGTAGGTACCGTTCGTGCTGTTCACTGTCCTTATATAATGGGTGTCACGATTCCCACCTGAAATTCAGACAGTCCTTTGCTCTTCAATTCACTGATATCACAGGCAAATGCGGTACTGCACCTAAGGTCTTCATCTTCATTATGAGGCTTTTCAACTTGTGGACTGATCAGCAGTTCCAAAAGCCAAAATGCCCTTCAGAAATTTGTAAGATAATGTTATCAAGAAAATCTTATAGGAATGGTGAAGACTAAAATGAGTAACAGACATTTTTCTAGGTACCACTAAATCAAATTTCATTAACTTTTAATCTTAACGGGTGCAGGTAAAAAGAAAAGCAAAGTTTTTTTCATAGGATCATTTCAAGTCAGTCAGTAACTCATTTCAGAAGATATGATAGCCCCATATTAAGTCAGACTGCTTGAGTAACAAACATATTGTGTTAAGGCTTAATTTTCACTACTCCAAAGGTCTTTCAAAGGTTTCAAAGTACTGCTTGAGTAACAAACATATTGTGTTAAGGCTTAATTTTCACTACTCCAAAGGTCTTTCAAAATGTGTTTGTGACTAAAGGTGACCACTCAGCCCTTTTCAGTGGGATGGGTTCTCTTGGTAGCACATCTTTCTGAAAGATAACTATGAGCGGGAGAAAAATCCACATGAGCCCTTAATGAAGCGTACTACATAGGAGCTGTAGAGGTCAGAAGTACATCTGGAGGAATGAAAATTTGTCGTTCAGTTAGAAGTTCATAGCAGAGTTGGGCAAAAGAAGTTCCACGCAAGGGTTTTGTTTTCTTAAGCCCCAGATCAAACTACCCTAGCATCTGTCCTAACTCCCAGAATTACCGCGAGCCTAGGCTTCAGAGCAGTTCTGTGGAGCATTATATCAGTATCATCATCTCTCTTCGGGACAAAACAATATGCTCATCATTGACTAAGCCCTGGTACACTCCATCTGAATGGGTTTACCAGACACATTACCGAGTTTTATAAAGACTGTGTGAAAGTTCACCGGAGTCCTGGTAAAGTTTATGCATCACACTGATATTGTTTAATTTGCTACCTACAGAAAAGTCTCTTTTATCTCAACTTTCATCTATCAGGATGGGCTAGAATTAGGTGTCCAAGCCAAACACTGTTTCTCTTCAATGACTTATGTGATGTGGGGCTCACACACCTTTTTGTTTTAAGGAACTGATATAATTGCTCTTGCAAAAATGACCCATTGTGGAGGCATTGGACCATTAATGCACCAAATATAAAGGGAGAGCTGATGTCATGCAAGTGTGGAGCTGCTCCTTGCTCATTCTTAGTTTATTTCTCTAAAGAGCCACAGCAGTAACACTTGCTGGGGTCCACTGCATAGAAGTGAGCATAAAATGAAGGTCTTGAAGTCAGAGGTAAATTCTGATGTTCTAGGGAACATCACAGTGAATGCAATGAATAATAACACATTATATATCTCAAATTGGAAGAGAAGAATTTCTATTCATCATCAAGAAATGACAAAAGTTTAAGGCGGTGGATATGTTGATTACTTTCAGGGGATCACTACCCAATATACACATGAATCAAAAATCACATCGCAGGGCCAGGGATTTGGCTCAGTGGTTCCGCCGCCTGCCTCACAAGCCACAATCCCCAGTACACCCCCCGCCCAAAAAAAAGAAAGAAAAAAATTATACCTCATCAATATATGTACAGACATTTTTCAATTTTAAAAGAATAGGGCAACCTCAACTATGAGTTTGGTATCGAAATAATTCTGATTTGAAATAAAGAAACGATTTTACTAGAATTTTTTAAGGAGAGGGCCTCACACAGAGCTCAGTGGTAGAGTATGTGCCTGGCATGTGTGAGGCCCCTGGTTCAATCCCCAGTGCCAAGTAAGTAAGTAAATAAATGAAACTCTAGATCTAAGAATTAGGTATCAAGCTGAGTGCAGATATACTCATTTCAATGCATCTTGAGCAACCCATATATAGGAAGTTCAAAGCTGAGACCAATATTCCGTTGCTTTTATATTGTGAGTCCTTATCAATGACCCACATACGTCCTGAAAATGGAGAAATATAAAATTCTTCATAGTAGAAATGAATCTGTGAGCTCCTCTAATTCCTGTAATTACACAAGAATATCACAGCTTTGAAACAGCTATTATAATTCAGAAATATCTGAACAATGACAGCTCAGAGAAAAGTGACATTGTTCTCATGAGGATACTATCAAGTAAGTAAATCATAAATTACAGAGACAAATATAGAGAACACCGAAATGAGTAATTCCTCCTCTATGTTGTGCCCCATAAATGTGTATTATGTATATTTATTTTGTTAAGTCTTAGATTTAAAACAAGAACTTGCAATAGGACACATGTTGTGCATGGGGAAACTACAAATCACAGCAGTGTCATCGAGAACAGTCATATCACCCATCACATATCTGTGTTACACTCCAAATAACGGACTCACATGGTAACAGGGAACCGATAGATATCAGTTTGCTTATCGACTTGTTCAAGTTTTATTGCCAAGTATATGATTGAATCTTAAATTTCCACCCTAGTGAAAATATCACCAAGCATAGGGCCTCATACAATAATAAAAAATATGGGGCCTTCTCTTTAGAGAATTTTTTGTGATATATTTCACAAATGGAATATTTTCATCAGTAACCCTTGGCTGAATTTTCACATTATCTATGCCAGCGAAACTGGCATCATTCATGATTACTGCTGATTTCAGTGAATCTGTTGATGCCCCACAGAACTCTGGATCTAGAAATCAAGTAACCATATGCTTATTCCGTTTCCTGAATTGAGAACATATGCAAACTAACGTCAACCTTCTGAGAGCAATTTTAACAGGCTGTCATATTTACCCCATCACCCATAAACATCATCACAATAACCTGAAAATACGTGTTACCAATGAATTCTCTACTTGTGTGTATAGACCAAAGTCAGTATCTCCCCAAAGATCTGGTTCCATTGAATCATAAAACTTTCAACTTTGAGTTAAAAATTTAATGGAAAGGGGGAGTTTTCCAATGACCATCAGTAGGAAAGGCACTCACTGAGAAGAATAAGTCGGTCACTCACTAATATTTTGTTCAAATAGTGAAGGTAAATTTAAAAGCTAGTCTTTTCTTTATCATCAAAGGCAGCCACTCAATTCTAAGTCATATTATGGTACACTTATTTTCAGCCACACATTCTGAGAAAAATGAAAGGGTGTTAAGAAAGATACTAAAACATAGGTTAAAAAAAATCAGAAAGTTTTACAAGCAGATAAGCTAGACGTGGGTGAAACAAGGTAACCAACAGTGTTTCCGTTCCAAAGCTCACTCATTCGCGGATTGCACCTCTCCCTTGCTTCAGCACAGCCCTACTGAGCATGACCGGCGTGTCATACATCTTCCGTCTAAGCCACTGCACACCCTCACACACCCACTGGCCGCGAAGGCTCTGACCAGGAATATTATCTTTAAACTCTGGGTAGCGTACTGACTCGGGCGGCAGGCAGATCCAGCGCTGAACTGCTGGATAGAACTCACGTGTCCAAGTTCATGACGCTGAGCTGTTGCCTCCTCCGCGGTTTCTACCTGGGTGAGAAATGCACCACTGAAAGGTGCGTTGCTTCCACGGGGGATCCCATACTTTGCAAACTAAACATAAATTATTTCCCCAAAGGCTCTGATACAAGGTTTCCTCCCTCTCAAGAATCTATTCCTGTTTTTTGTTGTTTTGGTGCTGGGGATTGAACTTGGGTCCTTGTGCTTGTGAGGCAGGCAGCGGAACCACTGAGCTAAATCCCTGGCCCTCAAGCATCTGTTCCTATCTTTCACATATAAACCAATGGCTCTCTTTGGCCCAATATTGTCTATATTTTCAAAGAAGCCAGATGAGGGAAAAACTGGCATCTTTTAGGGTGTTGAAGGAAAAAGTGATCAAGATACAAAGCAAAATACTAATTCAGGAAGATAGCTGGTTTTATTATTGAGTAAAGCAATTATGCTGATTGTATGCTGGGGTCAACAAGTTGCTACAAAGATGTAGAGGATTTTCAACATATTCACTTAAAATTAAAGCTACAATTGCTACATATCTCCCCATTTAGAAGGAACATTCAGCATGCAGCTCATTTGTGCCTGTTTATGGGGAGCATCCTCTGAATTGTTTCTTAATTCCCTGTCAGACTTTGGTTTTTACTGTGACATTTTTTGATCATTTTTTTAGCCTTACACTTATGCTTCATTCTTCATAATTCCTTATCAGCCCTACTGTTTGTTTGGGAAAGTATATTTAGAATATGTGATTAGCCACATCCTCAACTATAAGGTTAGAACAAGCTCAGTATTCCCCCATAATCATTTTCCCCTTGGGTCCTATTTTATGGTGTTAGATTTTTAAAACAAGATTCTGTGACTCTTCTTGGTGAACCTCTTAACTTTATGTGTATCCAGTGATTTCAAAGCAGTGTGCATCCTAAAGTGGTGAATGACATCGTGACGGGGAAGAGTTTCAAAATTTAAAATATAAACTTGATGTGACTAACCTTTGAAAACATCAGGCCACTGTTACATAGTAAGGCATATTCTTGATTGGCTCCATACAAGAACACTGCTCCCTCACACCAAAGCTTTTCAAATTGCTATTTTTAGCAGCTTGTTTTTTGAAGTGTTTTATAACATAGACTTAATTTTTAACTCTTAGTTTGTTTTTCCCCCAGGTTGTGCATGATACAAAAATCAAGATGTGGTGCTTAGTAGTCTAGAGATATACAGTGGGCCCTTCAATTACGACCAGCCTGACACACGACCAACTTGGGTTCCGTAGTTTTACCTTATGAACAACATCTTGAGTTACCACCCGAGTGCTGGCCGCTTGGGCTTCCAGATGGTCTCAGATACAGATTTAACCCTTAAGGGTTCTGGAAGGAACACAACAACATCCTCTCATGTGTGGGGTTCACTGAGAGATCTGGGGCCAGCATCTCTCTAAGGACGCTGAGATCTGCCTGTGTACAGGAGAGAGACTTTGAAGGCCGTGTACTGGAGCCTGAGCCTTCATTGACCAACATGAGTTACAACCAGCCCTCATGAACAGACTAAGCTGGTAAGTCAAGACTCCGCTGTAATTTGAATTTTGTATTGCATGATCCAGTATAATTCTTGTGAAGATCTATGAATTATAGAACATCTTACTCCTACAGTGCAACTAGGACTGGTAGAAACCATTCATCTTCCCAAGTAATGTTTCCTATTAAGAAGCTGAGGCAGGAGGATCACAAGTTTCAGCCCAGCCTTGGTGATCTGCTCAGCTCAGCAAGGCCAGCTCTCAAAACTAAAATATTTACAAAGGGCCAGGATGTAACTGAATGTAGAGTCTCTGGGTTCAATCCCCAATTATGCCCCAAATCCCATCAATTCAATTATTTGCTATTGAAGCTTAGTTATGAAGCATTTGTCGGAAAGTAAATAGAAAACTGTTAAACTGTAAAGTACAACTGCAAGATGAAAATGGATTCAGTTTTAATCTTAGGGACAAACCCATCCGTCTGGCCACTTCTGGCATCTGTTAAGAACATTTGGATTACCGTGAGCTATCTCTCCTTGATGACACACTTGCTCGTCTAATATATTTATTTCATGTATGTATAACACCAGCATACTTCAGGGAATTAGTTTTATTTATTTAAAGTTTCAGAAATTTCAATCTGCAGTGCCAAATTTCAGCTTTTTTAAAAAAATAACAGGATCATAGATAGTAATATACCCAGTACCTTGTTTCCCTAAGTGAGTGCAAACTTTTACTACTAAATGTATGTGGTAGTTGTTGAATAACTAATGGTTTACTTTCACCTTTTAAAAGAGTTTATGAAAATTCTTTGGTTTTTTTTTTTGCAACAAAATTTTATTCCAAGACGTCCAATATCAAATTCTTCCCAATTTCATTCTAATTTTCTCTATCATTATACCTTTCTTCTATTAAGCTTTGAGTCTATCCTATTGATATCTAAATTGCATGTTTCCACAATTTCTCAAAAGCACTTAGCCTGTCAGTATTTTTATGAGTTGGCAATTACAGCCCTAGTTTTATTCTCCTCAACATGGTATTTAAAAATCTCTTTTATTTTTAGTTACCAGGGATCGAACTCGGGAACTTTCGATTGTGAGGCAGGTAGCAGAACCACTGGGCTAAATCCCCATCTCTAAACATTGATTTTAATTTGAGCATAGCACCCCGTTTAGTCACTGTGTCATTTAGTAACTTTTTTGGTACCGGAGATGGAACTCAGGTCCTTGAGCTTGCGAGGCAGGCAGTGGAACCACTGAGCCAAATCCCCAGCCCTAGTAACTTTTTAAAATGGTAAAGCCATTTTGGTAAAGGTAAAGCTGTTTTGGTAAAGGTAAAGCTATTGTGAAAGTAGAGTTGAATTTATTCACATTAGCTATAGTGATACTACACGATACAGGCTGTCTCGTTATCTTAGCATGAGGCTGGGAGCCTGCCAGGTTTTAACAGGGTGGGTGCATTTGTGTAGCATGGTACTGCGGGAATTTTGAAGGAAGCACCCTCATCATGTGGGCTGAGATACTTTCTCCTTATCTGCACGCTTGCTTCGGTTTTATTAATCTTGTCCCCAGTGGCTACATAAGATAAAGAATAGCTGAAGATTTGCAACATTGTTCATCATCTTTGAATGTAATTATAGTTGGCTTAATTCCTTCCAATTGCCTTCCTACCAGTGTGTTCAATTACACAAAGTATGTGACGTGAGAGAAAATGACTTTATCTGCGTGGTATCGATCTATCAGTGGGACGATTTGAAATTTTTCATTTCTTCTATGTTGAAGCATCCAGTTGGGGACTCTGAGGATTATGCAGAGAAAGGGGTTTCTTAAGCCCTCATGTCATATTCAGGATAATTTGTAACCGATACAAAATTCCTTGAGGTTGAGATACTAATTTTTAAAAGAAGGATAAATGCTTAAGCTCAGCTGATAAAAATAATTATCAAAGTGATAATGGCAAGAAATTAGGGCTGGGTTATGGCTCAGTGGTAGAACATTTGCCCAGCAGGTTCAAGGCTGTGGGTTCAACCACAGCACCACAGAAAGAAAGCAAAAAAGATAATTAAGAAGAAAGTAGCAAAACATTACATTTCCCCTGCTGTTTGTCCATGAGCAAAACTTTACAGGTTGCATATTGCTGTAGATTACTATCCAGAGCATCTAACCTGACGGTCAGATAGCCCACTTCATTGTAAGGGTTGGTGTCATGTGTGGGGCTTGTATACATCTGGATTTCCTCTTCCCTGTGATGGCAATATGAGTTACGAACCACACGTGACAGGGTTCTGTCTGGTGTATTCAGTCAGTCTGCCATTGGAGCACTTTGAAACAGACTGGGTCCCCCGTGCAGTACAGAAACACACATTTCCAGGGGGGGTTTTCTAGCATTTGGCCAATATGATGGCAAAGTGAGACACAGAATACAGGGAAACCCACAAACTCTTTATATATCATATCTGATCCGGAGTGGTCTTCATCACATCAGACAACGTGTTAGATTTAAACCTGAGTTTCACAGAGTTTCCAAACTCAAAGGAAACTCAAAAGACAAAAATGCCATGACTGCTTAGAGAGAGTTAACCTTATTTTAATGCAACAAATGGGAAGGCATCGGGCTACTCTAAGCCAGTGGCTCAATATAATTTAGCCAAGAGATTCTGTTAGGATGGGTGCCCCGTTCCGTTTGTGCAGAAGACTGAAGATGATGAAACCGAGGCCACTTATTTGTAATGCAATGCAAAGCTACTGAGTTGCCTTAGCTCTGAAACGACTTCCCCATTGGACCTAGGTACTCAGAAATATTGAGATTCCATTCCATGTGTGCTGCGTTGGATACAGTCCACCCTGGCCTCAATATGTAGCATTATTAAAAACACATTGTATGCCCACTAGCGCCAGGAGCTCTGTAATGATTTGGTGACATTACAAAACAGTACAGACATTAGAGAACATTGATCTTCACAGGCTTTCTTGACTTCTTTTAGGCATACCCCGTAAAGAATCTTTTTCTGGGCTGGGGATTTAGCTCAGTGGAGCCGCTGCCTGCCTTGCACTCATAAGTTCAAGGACCCAAGTTCGATTCCTGATACAAAAAACAAAAACAAAAAAAACCCCAAAACAAAAAAAGAATCTCTTTCTGAAAAACATTATGTTTTTGTAGTATTTCCTGAATTGTTTGCTGCAATTACAATTATTGTGAGACTGCAAAGTTTTCAGTGTGCTCCTTTTGCTTAGTTTGTTGGTGGGCTTGAAAAAGCTCTTCGATTCACAGCAATTGGAGTAAAGGTACAGACACGTGAAATATATATTTTCTGTGGTAGTCTTCTTAGCTTTCCTTGCTTTCTGATTTCCTAATTCTTAGCAAGTTGGCTACTTCTCAAACTATAAGCAGGAGCTCGTGAGTGGGCGTATCATGGGTGTTCAGTTTCCCCAGCCCAAATCCTAGTAACACTTTTGCAGGTTGGTTTGCAATGTTCTTGATATTTCATTGTGTTTTCCATTGTGAATTCTACAATAAATTACACGAATCCGTTAGAGAAGTTTGAATGACTCTCATATACCAGTAGTTTCCTATGTAATAGTTCAGTTTCTATAGATGTTAGGAAGCCCCTCCTCTTCCCAAGTTGACAGTCACATAATAGACCACAAATACACAATTACGAGGTGTACAACAGCTGATTTAAGGCTGGGTTCAGTTACGAGCTCTGCCACTTGGGCACTTCGTGAGGGTTAACTCTCATGCAAAGACTCTAACACAGGCTAAATCAGGGGTGCTTAGGCAGCGTGGGGACAGCAATATTAAAGAGAGTGGCTAAAGTCTGGTGTCCTCCTCCACAACCATGAGGCATGTTCGACCTGTATTATCAGGAACTGGCCACAGAGCTGCTGGCGAATTTCTACCTGCCTAGAATAGTGTTAGGGTCACACAGTAAAGATACATGTGTATCCAGTGTGCCAGGAATTGCGTCCCATGAACTTTCGAAATAAAGCAGCCTGAGGTACAAGTCAAATTCCCCAGAGTCAAAGCCTGAGCCTCTTTGGTCAGGATTGTGGCTGCTGCTGTAAACATCACGGTACCCCATAGCAACAGAAACCAATAACCTAGAAACTAAACAGTGTCCCTATATCAAGGCCTAATTTGGGGGAAGCACATCATTAGAAGCACCTGAAGTCTCATGGCAGAAAAGCTAGAACAGTTGATCATAGTTACAACGTTTGATGCAGGTAGAGAAATAACTCCTACTTCAAGGATGTGACACTCCTGGCTTCTTTTGATTATAAGAGAAAGTCCTGATGACACCTCACCCAACAGCTCAGTGAGGCTCAGTCCGACAAGATGTGAGAATTGACCACCAACTCTCAAAACTGGGTAAGTTGATTCATTTTGCAGCATGTTACTTCATTTTCATGTTAGGATGGCTTCGAAATACAACCACCGTCCACATCCCAAATATCTCACTTTAGTTTGACAGCATTTCAACTAATCCAGGGAGGCTGTATGTCCCAGGACCCTAAGAAGTTTAGTACGACTAAGATGTCTGCTTTAGTAGCATGCAAAATATTATCAACTACCCATAGTAATTAGGATGGAAACTCAAGGGAATTTCACTGACTTTTATGCAAATACCAAGAGGATATCGTGGGTGAATTTGAATCATGGAGATTCATGACCACAAATATGAAGACTCCACCGTGAGTAGGTAAACGCAAATCAAGTCAAGTAAGCCTTGACCTCCTTGTAAAAGTCTCCATACTCAAAGTTGAATGTAAGTCTGTCATGGGAACACACTTCATTAAATCAGGAACAGGCATTCAGCAGCGAGGTTGGGGGCCACAGATGTCAGAAGCAGCACAGCTTTTTTACTTCTCTCAAGTCATGTACAAACCTATACCCTCCTTGTTAGAGTGTCCCTCCTTTCCTATAGATAAAATGCGAATAGTATGGTGTGAATGTCCCATCTACATTAGGCCCCACATTTCTACTTTTAATTACTTGTTATATAATTATATTTGAGCTAAAAGTAGAGATTCTATGCATGGCCCAGGTTTTTCTTTTGTTCTAAGTCAGAACAATGGTATTGATCCCTTTCCTGAAGCACTGCCATTTGTTTGTGGGCCCTGCAGAGATGGGTCTGTTCCACGTAATCCGGGGCACTGCTCCAGCAGAGGCGAGAACGCTGCCCTCCTGTGGCCACTCTTCACCTCCGCAGGGATGGATTTACCAACCCGAACCCGGCATGCCGGGGCTCCGAGTCATACCACCAAGCATACAAACACAGCAGCCCGTGCCTTACACAGCTGGACCCTTCCTAATAGACTGGCAAGCACATTTAGAAACAGCCACATTATTAGAATAGAGGACTTATTTGCATAGGAATCTGAGAAGAAAAGGAAGAGACAGAAGGAAGGCCAGAAATAGCCCCATCTTGGATGTTTTTCTGCGATAGGGTAAGATAAGAAAAATCAGTAGAGATGGCGTGCATGGCTCCACTAACTGCAATGAAAGGTAAGAAGATGTCGGGGTAGGAGAAAGATACATGAGTCTCTCCAGTTCTAGTACCGGCGGTTCCCTTATCACATCAATGTTGCCCATTCACTTGCACCATTTGCCATTTCTTTTTCTGAGACAGGGTCTCACTGTGTAGTTCACTGTGTTGCTCAGGCTGGTCTTGAACTCTCAGCGATCCTCCTGCCTCAGCCTCCTGAGTGCTGGAATTACAGCTGTGCGCCACCAATTATTTCTTGTTCAATGTTATGGAGTAGGGAAGGTCCTCTTGAGAAAGCTTCAGAGTTAGACGACATCTCTTGCATCTTCCTCATTGTCTTCTGTGATTTCTATTATCACAGTGCAGGCCAAACAATGTAACAGAGATGAATTTATGTACTTGCATATTTAGACCCAAAGAAATACAGCACCATACAAATGATAACAATGAATCACAAAATTTTCTCACTGTTTGGTCAAAGCAAGCTTAGGTAAAATGCGAAAATCTCCTCAGGAGCAACTCTTAAAGAAGAAGAACCATAACGATGTTCACGTGGTCTGAAAAAATGAACCAAGTGTCTCCGAAGAGTCTTCACTAGACCAAGGGTCCATCTGAATCAGTCAGTTATCAAAGCTTGATACACGTAATGGTGCATTTGCTGCCAGCCAGGTTTACTGCAACACAAAAAGTCACAGGAAGAGAGCGGAGATAAATTTTCCAAAAATTATGAGGATGGACATTAAAATCAAGCTAAAACAGGAAGAGATGCTCGCATTGGAAGGAAGCAGAGATGGATAAAGTAACCTTTTCACAAGAGATTTAATATTTGAAGACCACACATACGATTTCTATTCTAAGGCAGCTAAGAATACGGGAGTAGATAATATTATACCATAGAGATGACTTCAGTCAAGAGATTTCTCCATGATGGAAAGACTTCCAATTAAAGCAAAGCTCGGGTATAAACTTAAATTCTCAGGCACAGTGGCTTGTGTCTGTAGTCCCAGCTACCTGAGAGGGTGAAGTACAAGGAGGATTGTTTGAACCCTGGAGTTTGAGACCAGGTTGGCCAAAATGGTGAAGCCCCATCTCAATAAAATAAGTTTCTTTTCATGAGGTTCGGAGCTTTTATGTGAGTCACCCAGGTAGCAGAATTAGCCATAATAAAATTCATTTTCCTTGGAAAAATTTGTGTGTATTCTATCCCTTTACTTAACCCTTGAACTCCTTATGGAACTTCTGCTTTCATTTTTTGCTCTTAGAAATGAAGCCACTGCATGTATTAATGATACAAATTTTAGGTTATACGTGTATGCATTTCTGTGAACAGACATAGAGCGAATGGTGTTACATTTCAACTTCAGTGAATAATAAGAATATTCTAAACACACAAAGCTAATTTTAAATTTTAAATTTTTCGATACACAGGTGGTATTGAATTTATCTGACTGTTGGAATTATGACTTTCCCTGTGGATAATGACCTTGAATACCTTATGTTTATTGGCCACTGGCTATCCTCATCTTGAAGTGCCTACTTAAATGTTTTATTTTTCACTTTTTGACATGTAAAGGTTTACTACGTCTTCTATACAAAGGTCCTTCATTGAATACAGACCTTTGATAAATAAAAGGTTTAACTTTGATATGTTGATTCAGCATTGTTTTCATTTTTGGTGTTATTGGCATTTTCTTGTTCTTTTCACTTTCCCCAAAGTTAGAATGGTATTTTCCTCTGTCGTGCCCAATAAGCCTTGGTGACTTTTCACGTGTAGATGAATGTTACACCTAGAAAAATGATTTTCTTTGTATGGTTTGAAAAGGATTCACTTGTTTTCCTATATTGATACCCAGGATACCTGGCACCAACTGTTGAATAAAACCATCCTCTCCTCAACATTTAGCAGTGATATTTTTATCATCAGTCAACTCATCACATCTATCTATTGTTGGAAGCTTTAATATGTACCATTGTGTTTGTTTTCTGTCTTTTATGAGTATACTATAATTTTATAATAGGCCTTCAAGTTTGGTAATTTAATTCATGTACCCTTGTTCATATTTGAGACTATCTTTTCTTTTCTTTCCCTCTCATATAGTTTTATTTTTAAATTTTATTTTTCTTAGCACATGCTTGCAGTACATAATGTTTATATTCCTTGTGTGGAGTTGATACATATACATATTTTAATTTCTTTTTTAAACCCTTGTCCTCCCTTTTCTCAATTTCTTGATCTCTTCCCCTTTGAGAAAGAACTGTCTCCCTACTTATCTTTTACTTTGCTCTTTATTTATAATTTTACTTATTTATTTATTTACTTATTTATTGGTACTGGGGATCAAACTCAAGACCTCTTCCTTACCAGGCAAGTGCTGTGCCGCTGAGCTAAATCCCTGGCTCTCTTCATTTATATTTTGAGTTTCTCATCTGAAAGAAACCATACTTAACCTTGTGTGTTTGATTTATTTCACTTAACATGTCAACTCTGATTCTATATAATTCTTGAAATCAAATTTTCTGGATCTCTAAATGAACTTTATGGAGAATTGACATCTTTATATAAGTGAATCTGCCAATTCAAGTACTTATATCTCTCCCTTCATAAGATATTATCTACTTCCTTTCAATAATATTTTATAATACTTTGCATGATCTTTTCCTATGTAATCAATATCTCTGATCTTCTTGAAAATGTTTTTAAATTTTCATTTTTTGTTACTTCACAGAGATACATTTCATATTATTTATTTTTTAATCTAGCAACTTTACTCAGTTAACTTGCTAATTTTCATTGCTCAGGTTCAGGTTATTTTCTGTCTCTGAATAAGGAATTTATGCATTTCTATTTTCAATTCTTATCCCATGATTGACTGTATTCATTAAATATGCAACACAGTGTTCACTAGAAATGGAAAGTGAAAAATCACTGTTTTATTTCCATTCTCAAAAAAAAGCTTTCAGTTTCTCTATTATCAATGGTCTTAGACTTGACTTCTTTTGTAAATACTATTTAGCAAAGAATTTTGTTTAGTTCTTAGTTCCTAATTAAGAGACTTGCTAAGAATAGGGTTTGTATGTTGTCAAATCTTTTTTTAATTTTTTGAGATAATTGTATCATTTTCTTCTCTCATGTTACCTTGATGAATTATGTTGAATGCTTTTTGATTCCTTTTTTAAAAGCTTTAAATATATCAAAAAATGGTGAAGCTAATGCAGAATTCTCAAATAACCTATTCCCAGTTTTCCTGTTTGCCACACTGAATGAGCCAACATCGATAAATTATTAACAAAAGCATACTATATTCAGATTTCATAGTTTTGCCGAGTGTCCTATTACCCTACCATTATCCACTACTTGATTTCGTTATGTCTCGGTCTCTTCTTGGCTGTGACACACTCTCAAACTTTCCTTTTTTACAACCTTCATAATTTTGAGGCAAACTGCTCAGTAAGTGTCTTTACATGATATTTGCTTGACGATTTTCTCATGATTGTACTGGTCTTATGGGTTTTGAGGGGGAAGACAACAGAAGCAAAATATAATTATCATCATATCATATTCATTGTTGATGTTCACCTTGCTCGCTTTTCTGAGACAGCATTGGTCAGCTTTTTCCATTGTAAAGTTCCAAGTTCCTTGAGTTTGATCCCCATACCAAAAAAAAAAAAAAATCTCTTCCATTGTAAAGTTTCATCTCCCTTTGTCACAGGCCTCCTACCCCTGCCCATTTTTATAGTGCACTGTTTAGAATCAAGTCAATATATACAGCTCACATTTGAGGTGTGAGGGTTTATGCAATGCCTCTTTGGAGAAAAAGTATTTACAAAGCTTATTTGGATTCTTCTGTAGAAGAAATTTGTTTCTTTTCCCCAATTTTTATTTATGTAATTATTAGTATCACTAAGGATGCATGAGTATTAATTTTATACTTTCATTACAATCCAAATTTATGCTGTTTGTTGTTTTAAAATTGGCCCTTTGATAATTAGAAGCTATTTTGGTTAGTTTCTGAGTGTCTCTGATATATTCTCATTAGTGTAGGGTGATCCATTATTTACTGTATGTTCTTCCTTACTCTCTGGCACTACAAAATGTTCAGGGCTCATCTTACACATTTCCTCCCCAGTCTTAGAATCAGCCATTTCTACAACGGTTCTTGGGTTATTTTACTGGAGAATGATGTTCGAAACCAAAATATGGGTCCCATGTATGCCTGTTGTGAGAATGTCATTGTTTCTACACTTCAGCTCACAGAATATAGAAATGTTTGCATATGGCAATGGCTATGTTTAATCACATTTATAATTGTGTACAAAATTATCTGCATGTACATTAAACATGAATTTATGCTAAGGTTTTTAATTCATTGCAACACAGATCATTGGCGCTTTTTCTCCTTGCTTGTCTGTAGTTTTCTACTTTAACAGTAAGAAAACTTATATCATCTGTCAACTGTTTGCTTATTGTCTAATGCTAGTATACAGGTATAAGCTTCAAAATTACTTACACATCCACAGAAATAACCTTATCAAACAGACAACTGTGTTTCTCTATACTCACTTTGTCTTTAGTTTTACAGATTCCACTGAGTCTTCCAAAACTTTTCAGTCAGCATCTCTTCCACCCTACTCACCCTTGCCAGTAAGGTTATTTTGTATGTTTGCAATACAGCTGGGTTATTTTGCAACATTCGGTATTCCATCCTGGGGTTTTCCATCATCCTAAATTATTTTCTTAAATTTGTGTAAAGTTCTCTCCAAGTTGTAAAGTTCTATAGGTTTTGAAAAATACATGACATCATATGTACAAAATTATAGTAACATGCAGAATAGATTCACTGTGCTTTTTAAAAGTCCAATCCTAGCCCCTCTAGCTGAGCTCCTGCCAATCACTGATACTTTATCTATAGTTTTGCCTTTTCCAGAATGTCAGGTAACAGAAGGGACACACTATGTATCTTTTCAGACTGATTTTTCTTACTTAGCAGTCATACACTTAGGATTTGTGCATTTCTTTCTGTAGTTCGTTGGGTCATTCCTCTTTACTGCTTGATAGCATTTCACTGTATGAATGTATCACAGTTTGTCTATCCATTTACCCACTAAAAGATATTTTAGTTCATTCTAGTTTCTGGCAAGAATAAGTAAAAATGCTGTAAATATTCACTTGCTGGCTTGTGTGGACATAAGTTTTCACATGAGTTAGTTAAATACTGAGAAGCACAGTGGCTGCAGATATGTTATCTAGTACTGTGGTCCACTGCTCAACGTTCCAGTTTGAGTTTCCATCTGTAATGAGTGCTTGCTTCTTTGTCAGCCCTTGCCATCATCAGATCTTTGGATTTTAGCCCTTCTACCATATGTGTTGTAGTATCTTTAATCTGCCTAATAACAATGCTGCAATCCTTACATACCCTGTTTATCTTCCATATATATTCTTGGTGAGGTATCTTTTCAAATTTCATGCCCATTTAAAAATGAGTTTTTTGTTTTCTTATTGTTGAATTTTAAGAGTTCTTCATATATTTGGGTAAAAGACCTTTACCAGTTTTACATTCAAATTGCTCATTACTCATATACAAGAGCAACAGGCTTCTGTATATTGAACTTGTACCCTTTAGCTTTGCTGCGCTCACCTACTTACTCTAGTACATTTTTCTTTTGTGGATTCTTCACAATTTTTCTCCATACACAATCATGCAACCTATGAATAAAGAGTTTCATTTCTTTTGCTGCTACCTGTATGCATTTCTTTTTCTTGTCTTATTAAATTAGCTAAGACATCTAGTGTGTTGTTGCATAAGAATCTTATAAATATTCTGAGTATTTTTTGCCTTATTGCTGAAATCATCATTCTGGCTCTGACCCTATACATATATTAGCTCTAGGGATATTTCAGATGTTCTTTATCAACATTTCTTTGAGGACATTTCCTTGAATTCTTTGCTGTTTATTTTTTTTATCTTCAATGGTTTTTACATTTTATCAAATGCTTTTTTCTGCATCTATTGATGCAATTATATGACTTTTCTTTTGTTGCCCATAGACTGTTGATGCTTACCTTGCATAGTTGGCAGAAATCCCACTTGGCTTTGGGGTACAAATTTTTGTACATATTGTACAATTCAATTTAATAATATTTTGTTAAGAATTTTATGTTCAGGGCTGGGGATTTAGCTCAGTGCTTCTGCTGCCTACCTTGCAAGTGCAAGGATCTAAGTTTGATCCCTGGTATAAAAAAAAAAAAAAGAAAGAAAAATAAAAATAAAAAATAATTTTATGTAAAAAAAAAAAAAAAAAGAAAAATAAAAATAAAAAATAATTTTATGTTCATGAGACATACTGGTTTATAGTTTTACTTACTCATAATGCCTGTCTGGTTATTGTGTTATGGTAGGTATGGTGTGATGCAGTGAGTTAGAAAGTGTTACGTCTACTTTTATGCTCTGGATGTAATCACAGAGAATCAGTATTATTTTTCCCTAAATGTTTGAATTGACCAATAAAACTGTCTCAGCCTAGTACTTTCTTTTTTGAAAATTATTAATCACTCAATTTCATTAGTAGGGGTTCTGGTTATCTATTTCTTCTGTGAGTTTTGGTAGCTTTTTTTTTAAACAGTGCCGGAGATTGATCTCAGGGCCTAGCATGTGCTAGGCAAGTGCTCTACCACTGAGCTACATCCCCAGTTCAGTTTTGGTAATTTGTGTCTTTTAAGAAATTTAGCTTTATTTAAGTGATCAAATTTTGGAAAGTGGAGGTTTTCACAGCATTGTCTTTTATCCTTTTTATGTACTGACAACCCACCCCTCATTTGTCTCTTATTGGTCATTTGTCTTTTTTCCCCCCTTGCTTACCTTGACTAGAAGTTCAGCAATTTTATTGATCTTTTAACTTTTCATTTTGTTGGGTTTCTACATTATTTGCATTTTTAAATTTCATTAATTTTATTCTGAAATTATTTGTTTTCTTAAGGTTTACAGTGCTCTTCTGTTGTTCAGAGGTGGAAGCTTAGATTACTGATCTTAGGTCTATTTTTCTTTTCTAATATGTATATGAATTTAGTGCTAAAATTTTCCCCATAAGCATTGCTTTAAGTGCTTTCAACAAATTGTAGTAAGTAGTATTTTCATTTGAACTGAGTCCATAATTTCTTCTTTAATGAGTTAGTATTTGATCTGTTATTTATAAATGTATTGTTTTATTTGTAAATATTTGGGGATTTCTCAAATGTATATTTATTGGTTTTTAGGTTTATTTCATTGCATCCTGAAAACTCAGTTATGATTTATAATACTTTAAATTTGTTAAGGTCTGTTTTATGGCACATAGTGATTTATTTGGTAAATGTTTAATGTGTTAGAAAAATGTGTACTCGATTGTTGGATTAAGTATTCTACAAGTGTCAATCAGACAATTTAATTGTTACTGCTTTTCAAGTCACCTATCTCTTTACTGTTTTATGACTGCTTGATTATTAACAAAGGGAGGTGGGAGCCTCTGACGATAGTAGTGAGTTTGTCTATTTTTTTCAGTCTTTTAACTCCTACCTTATGTGTCTTGACACTGTTGTTAGGTAATACACTTCTGTGATTGTCATATCTCCTTGTAGAACCAGTCCTTTCTTAATATGTAATGCCACCCTTCATGCTTTGCTCTGAAGTCAGCAGCCACTTCAGCTTTCTTTTGATTAGTGTTAGCAAGGTATACTTTGATCTAAATCTTTCATTTTAAAGTAAGTTTCTTGTAGGCAACATTTAATTGATTTTGTTGTTGTAATTCATTCTAGCAATCTTTTATATGATTCACATTTAAGGTGATTTTTTATACAGTTTAATATACTTTTTTTTTTTTTTTTTTTTTTTTTTTTTTGGTACTGGGGATCAAACTCAGGTCCTTGCGCTTGTGAGGCAGGTGGTAGAAACACTGAGCTAAATCCCCGGCTCTATTCTTTTTTTTTGGGGGGGTAGGTTTTATTGGGAGAAAGGGCTTAAAAATCATGAGCTTCCTCATCCAAAATCAAACATAAATGAGGACTTACAGATGTGTATTACAAAAGAGACTGGCTGGAAACAAAGGATATGTCAAAAAAGTCAGGGGCCATTAAGATAGAAAGGTCTTTGCTTCATTCAAGATTTAGCAACTGATAATCTCATTTGATAAATTAACTGGATTTTCCTTTTTTTCTCCCTGAGTTTAGCAGTACATTTTAGGTATACAGTACAGTTGCAATCATCATTGGGATCTTGTACCTTTGCATGACAGGTCTTGGTTCTCATTTTTTCCCCACACCCCTGCCCTCCCTTCATATTTTCTAACCATTGTATTATTCTATTTCTTTTTACCACCCTGTTTTACTGCACTGTCTACTTTCACTGACCATTTTACATCGTTTCATTTGACCTCTTAGTTATCAATTATTTCTTCTTCCTAATTTACAGATTCCCTTAAAATTTACATTTTTGACCTAATCTAAACACATCAGCAAATTGCAATAAACCACTTCACATAGCACACAATACCTTGGAGCGGGGTGTTCCCAACTTCTCCCCCACCTGGTGAAGCACTGCTCTCATTCTTTCACGTATCTATATGCCATAAGCATCTGATACATTACTATCATCACTTTAGGGAAGATTTCTTTAGGTCATTTAAGCATAATGAAAATAGATTCGCGTTTACCTCATCTTTCCTTTTCCAATGTTTTCCTTTCCAAGGTTTAGATCTGTATAATCTTTCTTCTGATTAAAGAACTTCTTTCACTTCTTATAGGTAGGTATGCTGGCAACATAACCCTTCCTTTTGTCTTTTCCAACTATCCTTATTTAGTCTTTACTTTTTGAGACAGTCTTACTGAATACAGATATCTATGCTGATTCCTCCCATGTTGACTTAAAAATTGTTAATAATCACTTTCTTTTAATGGTTTCTGATGAGTTCAATGTAATTCTCATCTTTGTGCTCTACCTAAGTTTTCCTCTGGTTTCTTTTAAGAGTTTGTTTTTGGTTCTCCGCAGGTTGAATCTGAAATGCCTGCATTTATTATTTTATTTTTACTGCTTTGTGTTCTCTGAATTTCCTGGACCTGTGGTTTGATATGTGTCCTCAAACTTGGAAAGTTTTGGCTATTATTGCTTCAAACATTTCTTCTGTTTCATATCCTTCTTTCAGTATTCCAATTATGTAACATCTTGTTCCACCATTCTTAAATGCTGTTTTATTTTAAATTCCTTTTTTTTTTTTGTATTTGTTTGTGAAATCACTACTATCTTCAACATTGCTGTTTCTTTCCTTGGCACTGTTTAATCTAATGATGAGTCTGTTCAAAGAATTCATTTATATTACAGTGGTTTTTTTTTTTTTTGGTTGTTATAGTTCCCATCTCTCTGTTATAGAATATGATATCTTTTTCCATCAGAACTTCTTAACATATTAATCCTACTTATTTAGAATTCCCCAATGAGAATTCCATTACCTGTATTGAGGCCATTCTGCTAATTTCTGTCTTTTCACATTTTTTCTTTTTGTCAAATGACACACATTGTAATTTTGAGTTGCATCCATCATAAGAACTGAGGTAAATAGGATTTTAGAGTGAGATTTATGATTATCTGAGTAGGAGTTTGATTGCATTTAATGGCTGCCATTGCTAGAGGCACCAAGGTAACAAGTTCCTCTAGCATCTTTTTCTCCTCTTAACTTTGAGCTTTCCTAAATACCATGAGACAATTGGTGTATTACAACTCTGTCAATTATACCTCTTCATTTTTATTAGTTTGCAGTGTGTTACAATGTAAGGAAAACTGAGAGTTCTAAAGTCTTTTGAATAAATCTGTTCAGTGGACCTGTCTTGGTTTGTAAACTTCTCAAATGCTTCTTTTTCTCTACTCCCTCCCTTGGCTCTTGTGTACCTATTTCCTTGAAGCACTGACCTCTGTTGACACTTGTGGGTTTTTAAAATTTTTGACTGGTAAAATCATCCAAAGTTAGAGGCTGGCATGAGAAGAATGCCCCTCACCCAAATGGGATAAGGCTTTGGTAAAATATTTCTCCTGGAGATTGGGCTTTTGCTGTGGAAAATGCTCTAAGCATATTTCACAGTGACTACTGCACTCTACCTTCCTGAACCACCAGGAGATCCTACTTAAAGGAAGTAAAGTCCCAGAGGTGAGGTCTTCAGGGCTTTCTCCGTTTCGGCCCACTCTACAACCAGCCCAGGTATTTTTCTAAACTGCCACTCTAGTGGCTTCTGCTCCAATTAGCAAATACCAGTTGGATCACAGTCTGTTTCTCCAGATTTTGGAGTGGAAGTTTTCTCTGAAACCTGTTTTTTGATGGGTCTGAATAACTGGTGTTATTTTTTCAACTTTTTTCGCTTTATCTTGTTGTAAGGGTAGAAACAGTAACTTGCAAGCTCTTCTCACATCAGAGTTGAAAGCAGAAAATTTGAATAATTTTTAAGTTAAAGAGAATCCACTTTTATGTTAATGAGAAACCCCTTTCATGTCATAAACCCCAGGGGTTGTGAAGTACCCTTTTAATATGTCACATAATTTGATTAATTATTTCACCCCTATTTTCTGCAACTGTAACTGCAACTGCAATTTTACAGCTCACCACCTGGTTAGGAGAATTTAGATATCTTCAAAATTAATTATAGATTTTCCTTAAATACCTGCAAAACCTTATTCGTGGGATTTTTAAGCATGACACATTTTTGTTTGAGAGTATTTTGACGATGGATTCAATGTCCTTAACAGATGCAGGACTATTAATAGCTTCTATTTTTGTGAAACCTTTATTAGTTGTATTTTTAAGAAATTTTACTGTTGCATCAATTTTTAAATAAAAGCAAAGAAGGGCCAATAATATGAAGATTAAGGAAATATTTCAGGAGTGATTCTTGGACAGTTCCCCTAAGAACAAGGACAGGGACTAACAGCACATGTGACCGTGGACATGGGCCAAGTGGTGACAGCCCAGCTTCTTCCCAATGGGACTGCTGCGCACACGGCACCGACAGCTGCATATTAGAATGTGCAGAGTAAGTGCGATACTTTGACTTTAGTACTTCAATGCATGTGTATAAAATATGTGACTCAGTATACTTGTAAAATGTAGTAAGTGCCTATGAGACTAAACTGCACGTCATGCCAACAAAAGGAAGCTGGTGTGTGGGTAGCACCACGGCATAATAGCTCATCACAACGTCTGTCATCATTCCTGCTCTTCCCGGGATCTGACCAGTGTGCAGCCATAGTGCAGACTTTTCCAAGGTGCGGTATCTGCATAAAGTCTTTAACACTCAAAGGATCAATCTGAGGGAGGCAGATGTGTACCCTCACTATGTACGTGCATGTGTGAAGCATCTTACATGAGATACATATCAAATTAGCATTACGTGTGACAGGCATAACAGAAAGAGTTTTCTGAGACAGGGTCGCACTGTGTAGTTCAGGCTAGCCTTGAACTCATGGTCCTCCTGCCCTAGCATCCCAAGTACTGGAATTACAGGCAAATGCTACCATGCCTGGCTAAAATCCACCCCCCAGGATCAAACTCAGGACCTTGCACTTGCAAGGCAGGTGCAGCAACACTGAGCTAAATCCCTGGGTAAAATATCTTTTAAAAGACAAGATTTATAATAATTCCAGCACAGAATCTGCTAATATTAAGTGTGCGCTCAATACATGAAAGCATTTATTATACTAATGATTACTTTGTTACACGAAGAAGAATTTTTAGATTATTCTTTCACAGCCTTTATTAAGGAAACCTTTAAGTTTAACAAATAAAAATAGTGATTTCACTATGTAAGATTCGTGTGTAACCTATCAAATTATCTTACTACATGATTAAGAAATTTGTATGTTATTTTCTTCTTTTAAATAAGAAAGCCTTTACTAAGCATATTAAATAAAAATGTTGATTTCACCATATAAGATATGTAAGAAACCTAAATTTATCAAAATGCCATACAAAAATATCTTCTAAACACTTATAATGGAGGGAAAAAAATAAAAGTTGTATTTTAAAAGATCAAAATTTTAAGAACCAATACAAGTTACCTAAGAAGAAACAAGAAACATAAAATAACAAAATTACACAGGCAAACCAAGATTACCAATAATAATAATAAGATAGGGTCAGGGATGTAGCTCAGTGGTATAGGGCTTACCTAGCATGCAAAAGGCCCTGAGTTCAATCGCCAGCACCGGAAAAAAACAATAAAAAATAAATTTAAAAAAAGAAAAGAAAAAGAAGATATTAACAAGTTACAAAGCCATTAAAATAAGAACGATAACATGACTAAATGTTTCCTTAGGAGAGACATGTCTGAGACACACACACACACAAAAAACCGCTTTCAACAGAAAAGACCACTGCTCATAGCTGATTAAAGGCATAATGCATAAGATGAGAAAATCTACTTTAATCTACAAAAGAACTATAGAACCAATGAGATTTAAAGATGATTACAAAGAAATAAAACAATCTTACCTAGTATCAAGGCAATGAAACACAAGCGTATAAAATAATAGCTAGTATGACTGGATCCAGGCCCACCGTTCTGCCATTGGTTCTCTATGTGTCTCTTTGTTCCTTTCTTTATTCTTTCCTGCAGTCCTTTGGATTAATACTTTTTATTGTCTCAGTTTAAGTTTGTTATGATTATTTTAGCTGTCTTTCTCTCATTTTTAGTGACTGTTTAGGATTGTAATGAGTATTTTTAAGTTCATCACATTCATCACATTCGACTGGAGGTGTAGCTCAGGAGCAGAGTACTGGCTTATCATGCATGAGGCTATGGATTGGATCCCCAGCACTAGAAAAAATAAACAGCAATCACTTTCCACTTATACTTAATACAGCACTACTGCCTTTTGTAAAATATGAGAGTCCCACACCACTACAGTTATAGGCAGCCCCATTCAGAGTACTGTTCTAAATTACACATACATTTCTAAATTACAGATTACATTTATGTATGTAAGAACACTTCCAACACAGTACTATTTTAGCTTTCAAAATTGTTCCTCCAAATAGCAAAAGAAAATGTATTTTATATTAATATATTTCTTAAATTGTTTTTTCTCTGCCTTCTAAGATTAATGCATATGTATCAACAGAAACATATAAGATGACCCAAATATGTTAGTAACACATAAAAACTTTAAAGAACTCCCTAAAAATGTGTTCAAAAATTTAAGGCGAAGATGATGGTGAGTGAAAAGATAAGAAATACAAGTAGAGATGGAAATTTTAATAATGAACTAAATGAAAGTTGTAGAAATGAAGAGAAAGAGAGAGAGAGAGAGAGAGAGAGAGAGAGAGAGAGAGAGAGAGAGAGGGAAACAATGCTCTCTCTTGAAAAATGCACATTCCCCTGAAAAGGAACTCACAAAGAAATAAGAAAATATTTGAACTGAATGATAATTAAAACTATCAAAAATTTTGGGACCATTAATACAGTGCATATGGTCTCCAATTTTTATATTAGAAACAAAGAAAGGTCTAAAATGAAGGCCTAAGTTTCTACAGCCAACAGAAAAGCATATTAAAACCAACACAACTGCCGCTTGCTTTGCAAGCACAAGGTCCTGAGTTCGATCCCTGGTACCAAAAAACAAACAAAACTCAAGAAGTAGGAGAGAAATATAAGATCAAAAATCAATAAAAAAATAAATAAATCCATAATCTAGTGAAAAGATAATAAGAAAAAGTCAAAGACTGGATCTTCTAAATGATAAACAGGGGGACCTGGTAAAGAGTGATCTAAAGGAAAATGATCTAATGTCTATCAGGGTCTGAGAAAGTGAGATCTCCACATACCTTACAGGTATTACAAAAGCAATAGGGAAATATTATAAAAAACTTCATACCACTGAATTTGAGAAAGCTGATAAAATGGAGTATTTCGTTGAAAAACAGGACTCAGTGAACCTGACAGTAGATGAAACAAACTGAATAATTACCTATTACTAGAGAATTGAAATGGTTACTAAAAATATCATGAAGGAAACTTAGGCCCAAGTGACTCCACTAATGAAATCTATTAATGCTCCCAGGAAGAAATACTAGCAAAATAGAAGAAGAGAGGACAATAATCAATATAGTAAATGAAGATTAATAAAATCTAACAGGAAATAATAAAGAAAAGAAAACTATGGGCTAATGACCATCATGGACATAGTTACAAAATCTTTAAATATAAGGTAGGAAATTGAATACAGAAATATATATACAAATAATAATAATACCCAAGTGGCTTATATTAAAAATGCAATGTTGAGTTAACACTCAAAGCCTGATCAGTGCTGTTTCCCATAACAATAGAATAAAGGGGAAAACATGATTATATCAGCAAATGTAGAAAAAGGATCCAACAAGTTTATCTTTATTACAAAATGCATCAGTAAACTAGCACTTGAAAAAGAGTTGCTCAATTTGGTAACAGGCATTTACATAAAACTTTGTAGCTTTCTTTCTCAGTAGTAAGAAACTGGATGCTATTTCCTAAGGTTAGGAAAAGCAACCCAATTTAAAAGTATGTGCATTAAGAAAACATTCCAACTTCTATAAAATACCACAAAATCCAAAAAATCAAATTTAAACATATTAATTTATAACAGCATCAAAACATGATTTAACAATTTAATTTTACTTAAAATTAAATTTATAAATTTAACAATGTTTCCATACTGAAAAATACAAAGTATGTTTCTATACTGAAAACTAAAAAATATTCCTGGGTTACTGAACAGTATTAAATTACGTGTATATGTATCTATATACAGACATCATGAGCTGTGGAAAGTGTGTGTGTGTGTGTGTGTGTGTGTGTGTGTGTGTGAAGGACAGAAACACTAGTTATCTCAAGAAAGTATAAAGTGGGTAGCCAGAGAGGATAGAACAGAGAAGGTGAATTATATTTCATGGGACAGACTCTTGCAAAATTTGTACTTAGTAATACATAAGATGATTTTTGAAATAAATTATAAAAATGGTTCTGGGAAAAGAAAAATGTTGTAATTTCTCTTTTTAAATAACATGAAGCAAACATGGTAAATGCTCACAGTAGAACATGTGTTCCTGGTCACCAGTATGTGTAAGTTCGCTGTTCTTTCCTCTTCATAGTCTTTATGATTATAAATATTCATAATGAAAAAATTTTTAAATTATACAACAAAACAAATCTTCATTACCAAGAACAAGGGTCAATAAATGGATTATACATGCTTAAGGTTTATTAGGAAAAGTAGTAAAGGAACACAGGGAAATGTGTAGATAAATAAGGACATTTTAGAAAACTGATAAATTATACGAAAAATATGACTGGAGAGGGGAGGGATAGTGATACTGAAAATATACTAGTTAAACTATTTGGTTTAAAAGAAAGGCAAGGAAGAAATAATCAAAACATCCTGATAATGTATTTGAAAATCTGCATGGATTTAGACCTTATAGAAGAAAAAGGTTATATACAAGACACAAAACATAAAAAAAACATGAAAGAAATGAAAACTTGTCTACCTGACACAGCTTTCCTTCTATTTCAAACAACCAAAAACAAGGGAGAGTTCAGATCAGTTCATTTATGTGTACACTTCTCCACTCATGACGTTAGAGCTTTAAACCCCATTCTACAACACAGAGTAAAATGAAAACCCTCAAAATAATTTTAACACAACTGGATAATTTGATATCAAAACACAACAAAATTGCACAAAAAGAAATTATAGATTAATTCACTTAGCCATATACTTTTACAATTTTCAAATAAAAAATCCAGAATTGAGCAGTAAATTAAAATAGCAAAACATTCTGAAAATGGAACAGGGTTTACTCATGAAAAGGATAAAAATAAGTTTCAATAATATAAAATTAATTCTTTTATGGGGATAAACATTTTCAAAACGAATAGTAGAGCTATTTATGCAAAAATCACTGATTATATCTATTGCTTGGTAGTGATTAAAATTTCTGAGAAAAATATAAAAAGTGATGATTTTCCTTTTAGTACAACAGACTGAATTTCTTAACCTTAAAGTTAGGCACTTATTACATCAATGATTAAAATAACTTACCTATTGGGAATAAGAACTCATACCACCCCAGCAACATCCAGCTCAGCAAGATAAAACTGTACGCCGATAAATAAATTCAGCTTCCTCATCTAGGCAAAGAGGTCTTCTATCGATCACATTGTACCTCAGCAAGCAGCTCCCTTAGAGAACACATGACTTGAAGATGCAGGCTCCTGCTGAGGACCACATCATGCTTTCCCACCAACCAAGTAGGCTTGTTGAATTCTGCCCATCCCTACCAGTTCCCACCTTAAGCCACATCAGCCCAGACCGCCAAGCCCTCAGTCCTGTTCTGGAGATGTTACTAAACCCTGTCAAGGCGGTGTTTTCCCTTGCTGCAGTGAGTTTATTAACTCTGCTTTGCTTGGTCATAGCTCTTTTGGGTGGTCCCCTCTTTGGGGGAAATAGATCAGCAGAAATGTGCTGTTCAAACCCTGAAAACATGCTACTGCAACCCATTTAAATCAAGGGTGGGTAATATTTCCGCAACGTCTAAGTGCTCTGAAAGTACCAGACTGTGAACTTTATCAGAATCAGGACCAATTAGAAAGGGAGAAATCAAAACTATTAATATTTGCAAAAAATTTGGTATAAAGAATATTTGAAAAAAAAATTGAAAAGCAATGAGAAACAGTAAGGTGACCATGTACCCCAAAAAACAAAACTAAGCTTCCAGATACAAAAAATGAGCAAACAAATAAATTAAAAGAAAAGCCCAATACCAAAGGGAAAATATAAACCATAATTCAAATTAATGAATGAAAACGAGACGTACCTTGTTCTTGAGTATGAAGAATATTATTAAAGAAACAATTCTCCCCTAAATAAATTTATTAAAGTGGATGAAACTGCAGTCTAAACTGTAATTTCTCCCAACAAGAAGACACATGAGACAGGAGGCAGAAGAAGAGACACACAGATCCACGGAACAGAAATGGGACCGGTCACTGATGAGGGTACAGCTCATGGGCAAGATGTCATTACAGATAAGTGGGCAATCATTGGCAAATAATCGCAAGGAATGGAGAATAACCTGGCAGATTTAAGATTTCAAAACAAGAAATTTCTCATGATTTAAGAATTTGAATTAAAAAATACAAAAGAATTCAAAGTTATCATAGGTGAAGGGTTTTATGGACTCAGGATAAATACCTCTCCAAAAGTGACATGAAACTCAGAAGCTATAAAAGCGAACATGGTTATAGTTGAACATATAACAATCATACACATTCTTATAACAAAAACAAAGTTAAGAAGTGTGTAAAAATATCTGTAATGCTTGACCATCCAAAACTTATTTTACTAATAATAAATGTGCGCTTTGAAATCTGAGGTTAAAACTTCCCCACACCCCCAAAATTGGACATAAAGAGGAAATTAAAAATACAAATGGCTAATAAACATGAAAAAATGATTAAACTGAAAAAACAAAAGAAATACAATTGAAGACAATAGTTTGAGTGGATCGCACTGGCAAAGATTTTAAGTATTTATAAAGTCCATTATCTGTGAGGTTGTGAGAAAGTTGGCGACCTCATTCACTGCCATCGAGGATAAAGTTATTAATCACATTTTAAAGGAAATCTTGCAATAATTTTCAAAATTGGAAGTGTGCACACCCTTAATCACAGTAATTCAACTGCTAAGGAATTTTATTATGGTATCAGTGACAGATGCAGAGTTGTTGATAGGTAGGGTGGTTCAAAGCACAGAAATTCGGTGCTAACATAAACATCTATGAATGAGAGATACTTAAAACATTTAATTATATTTGATCAACAAAACAATCATGCAGTCACTCAACAAATGACACAGATCTGTATATATTAGAAAATGCCCACTGAAAAGACTGGTAAATGCAGGAGGCAATTTTCAGAAGACTGTATTACAAGATAGACCCACTTCTAGACCCCTCCAGACAACAGCTTGTGTACATCTATCCATTAAAAGAATGCACAGGCCTCCCTTAATGGAGGAGAACTATAAAACTGAAAGAGAGCTGGGCACTTAATTTATATATTAACTATTTGAATATGCTTTGAATTTTTGTAAAAGATCATGCAGTTTCTTTTGAATGTATCCTACTTTAAAATTTACCCCATGTGGCAAATGAAAATTATAAATGTGTATTTATAGGAGCACTGAGAAATTCCACCACTTTGAGCTTCTTGTGCAAAAACCTTTCCTCTACTGAGGCGCCTGGGGTTGAGCCAGGTGGCAGCAAGGGAAATGGTCACCAAGCCCAAATTAAAGTCTCATCGGTGGCATCCCAACACGAGCATTTCTCAGTTAAGCATTTCTTATCTGCAGAAGGCCTCCACTGCCGCGCGGGAAAGAAGGGCTCTCCATGCAGAGGGAAGCTGTCGCTGTTGTGGTGGAGAATGGTGGCAGAAACTGCAACATCCTCTCCACGCCACTGCGATCGTCACCTGCAGGGACACAGAGGGAACAATCGGCAAAGGTAGAAACACATTTCTGAAGCAACCGGGGGCTGTGAAAGCCTTGTTCACTCTTCTCCTATGTGTGCTGGAACACATTTCCCTAGGGTACTTTAAAAAATCCCCAATTCCAGCAGAAGGATCCATGCTCTGGGCAGAAAAATAGACACTGCAGTTGCTTTTTGTCCTTTTTCAGAGCTAAAAAGTATTAAGCACTCTCCAGGAACCTCAGATTTTGGGTCTTCTTTTCCCTCTGTATTCGCCTTCTTGAAGCTCTAAGTTATGCCTTCACTTGATCAAATATTTTGGATGAAGTCATTTGCCAGCATTCCAGCCTGATGATATTGAGAATGTGTCTCATGAATACATCGATTCTCTAGAAACACAATGGATCCAGCCCTGAAAAGACTCAACTTATTAGATGAAAATAAAGTTAAGGAAATCCTTTATTCTGACAGAAAATTTACAGAGTTGTAGAAAAGTTATGAAGATATTTCTCCTAACCCATTATGCAGTCTGGTCAATAGAGGCAACAACAATGTATCCAAAAGTCATCAATCTTCAAGAAATGAGCGCCTCATTTCCTACCCTGACATGGCTTCTCTTAGGAAGCAAGTACTATTCTAACTAAAACCCTTACCTTCAGTGAGTTTGTCTTAGATGATATGTAGGTGAAGAGGTTTATGAGGACTCTTCTTTCAAGGATTTACTGGTAGCAGTCACTCTCAGAAGAGCTCCTAGAAAGTCATTTTATGAAGTTAAAAAAAAAAGAGAGAAACCACTTTCAATAAAACAGGCAATGCAGCTCCAATCTGGAAACTACTCTTTTCTTCTCTTTTATATTGACTTTATTAGGTAACTGCCTCTTCCTTACACAGCTCTGAAACTATAATTGTCTGCTCTGTATCTCTGTAAATCTCAGGATCATCACATTGATTCAGGGCCTTTCTCTTCTGTGCATTTCTGAAATTGAGTGGATTGCCTGGGTCCCACTGAAAATTATGTTATTTAAAAAATATTTATGTATACCTAGTTGAACAGGTTGCTCACAAATCACTCAAAGCAGTCTACTTATCTTCCCACAACAAAAACTTACTGAGAAAAAAACTCTATGACAGGCACTACACAAGCTCTCTATGTCACACACACAAACACACACACACACACACACAAACAAGCTAAAAATCATCTGGCTTAGCTCATTGTGAAGGCCCTGGATTTAATCCTCAGTACTGAAAAAAAAAAGTCCAATGTATGAATCAATCATACAATCATACAAAATTAGAGCTGAGAAACAGGGGTCTGATTCAGCTGAGGGTAGGATTACTGAACAAAGACCCTGAATTTAGGAAGCCTTGTTATGGCCACAGAGCTATAATTCACCGTTACCATAACCATATTCACTAGTTCTTGGGTGGATTTTTAATGTTATTTGGCTGCATCCAAATTTCACCACACTCAAGAAGAGCAAAATTCATCAACTATACCATCTTAGGTCTCCTCTGTATAAGCATGCAGTTCCCTGCCCACATAGTGCTCATGCCTGCGAGGGGTCTAAGACACCACAGGAGTGGAGACTTTGATTGGAAAGTAAGCTGTCAGCTCATTTTCTGGAACTAACATTTAACACTAATCAAGTGCCTGAACAAATGCCCCCCTCCTTTATGGGCTCTGTCTTCACCTGACAGGAAGAAAACAAAAGAGGGAAAACAATATTTTAGGGAAAAAAATGCATACACACACACACACACACACACAACCTTTGTGTGCAAATAAGCCACATTCACACAAGTACACACATGTAATATAACAAATGCCTTTCATTTTAAGGGAACTCTGAGAAACATATTTGATTACCATATCAGATTTCCCTTAAAATGCATAGAGAAATGAATGGTTTACATGTGACTTCTTAATCATAATTTTGTTGATTACCCAATGAATAAATGAGAAATAGTGTATGTCTCTCTCAGATACGCTTTTTAAGTCATCTACAGAATACTATGTCAATTTTGCCAAATGTATTTACAGGTTTTCTTCTATTGTCCTGTAATCCATTAAGTTATCTTCAAACACTAGATTTATATAAAATATAAAATTGTGACTTTTACCTACAAAGAAAAGCCAAGCCAAAACATACAATAAAAATTAAAGTCTGCATTTGTCTTCTGGATATAGACATATTGATAGAAGGCTGCTGTCTGCTTTACTTTATGTTCTTGCTTCCTGAAGTCAATCAACATGCTAGTTTATAGTTCTATTTTCAAACACACTTTTCTCCAAATAATCTTAGCTAAGATTTAAATATTTTATAGATCTTGGATTTGTCACATGTACATCTTTGTATCATATACTGATACATGCAGCAGCTTTTTTGCACAGAACAGAACTTGGTGATATGACATTGAAAATGTTTATAATTCCATGCTATCCACATGTGATTGTATCAACTCTTACATCTACTCTTATGCACTATAGGCCTCTTCCCTGCCCTCATAGTGGCCACACCTGCAAGAGTATGCTCATGCAGAGATATGCTCTAGGCTCATGTAAAATGCAGGTAATGTGATTCAATAACTAATGTTGAATTTTAATGAATTTATATTCAGGCTTAAGTAGCCACTTGTTTCTGGTGTCTCTTATATTGCACAATTAAAGTATAGATGTTACATAAAACTCTGGAAAACATTTGTAATACACACACAAAAGATAGAATTTGGAAAGATGATTAAACTTTCAAAATGTAGAGAAATATATCAAAAAAGCAGTAAAATTGTTTCTATTTTTCTAAAAAGAATATCTACACAAGATCCTAATGGGATAATTAAGAGTGTGAAATAGGAAGAAAAGGGCTAAAGGTGTAGGGAAAGTAGGAAGGGTAGGGGAAAGGAAATAAGGGAAAAGAAAAAATATGAGAAAATGAAAAAATGGAAATAAAGAGTTTGTTAATGGGGAGGGGAGAAGGGGGTGAAGGGAGGGCAGGGACAAGGGGAAGAAATGAGAACCAAGACCTGTCATGTGAAGATACAGGATCCCAGTAATGAATGCAATTGTATTGTAGACCTAGATTGTGCCAATAAGCTCAACAAAAAGAAAAAAAATAAAAAGAATATCTATTTTCCTAAAGCAGAATACAGTCAAGTTTATAAATGAAAAGGTTTTAATTGTCATAGTTCAGAGTCAGAAACTGGAAGTTCAGTGTAACCCTTGCTGGGTGGATATTCTGTCTACCTCTGGGTGATACAGTGGAGGAAACTTTCAGATGAACTG